ATTAGGCTTGTCCCTATTTTCTCTAAATCGTCAAATTACTGTAAACAGGCTGCGTGGTACATGCACTGGACCAACACACGAGCTAGATCGGACTGCGCTCCCATAAGAAATATCGATCATGAGGGGTGGGGGCGTGTTTGCACGTTTGGGTGCAGACTCACTTCATACCAGCCACCTGCGCCTGATCTCTAATCGGTCAGGACACGGCGTGTGAATCACTTAAAGCTAATACATGCGCTAGTCTATTTCCCCGACGCACCTTGCTGTAAGGCACACATTGGGCATCGTCGGACGACGACAGTCAAACTCTCTATGTAGAAAGGCCTTGTTGTTCGGTGGGAACGTAAGATCAATCAGGCTACGGAGTAGACTGACCTTACTGAAAAAGGGGATCCCCGGGTAATATGGGGCGATGCACCTTGTCCCACGTCCTACCTCCTGTTGAATACCTTAACAATACCGATGTTATTTGACTGTTTTAACTCTGTCATTTATACTCTTGGAGGGTATTTTCCATTTCCTTAAGCAACGGCCGCTCGGGGTTATAGGCTCAGTGCAGTACATGCACTGTTTATTCGACCACCTGGCCGCACAACTTCTGAATTTCATGTTTCCATGGCTCAGAGTGTGTGCATATGCAGGGTAACTTTGAGCAGGCTGAGTCACTCGCAACTGACATGTATCGAGGCCAGCATACCCGTAAGCAGAAAGTCCGCGCGGGCTCCGCTCTGCAGCAACTACCAGCATCCTCCTGCTCCACCACTCCCAGGAAGTTTTTTTGGAGAATTGTAACTAGAAGGATGGCGCGCCAAAAGCGTATTTGGCGGTGCATATCTCCAGGCAGCGTATCTCACCTGTTGTCAGCATCGGTGTAGCTTGCTTGTATATCTTCCTCGCTCCCCTCGGCAGGACATGTGTTTTCCGACTATTTTGGAGCTCGATATATCTTTGGATTTATGCATAAGTTTCTCAATCCACGAATTGTATGCTTTTCGTGAAAGGAAAATCATACGGTGCTGTATGCCATTGGTCAGTATCAGTCAGTGTTCATAAAAAGGCTTCAATGGATGTGGAGTAGGCTGTATATATCGTGGAGAACACCAATAAACGAACAGATACGAGGCTATTTGGATGGACATTATGCGGTCTAAAAATCTCATAATTAGCAAGTTTTTTCTAAACCAAAAGATAGCCCTCTTTGAGGAGAAAAAAAGAAGTGATCAGCTATCAAGTGGGCAGAGTAAATGATGTTTCAGTACATGCTTTTTATAACTTATATTTGCATTTATTAAGACATTGACAATCAACTAAAAATGCATACTACTTAAGTATTTCATTTTTCCAGGCGATCTCAACGGTTTGCATTCAAAAGCTAACATGTTGATCTGTTTGAACTGCCAGGTATCATGACGCACAATGATCGATCTTACAACCCCATTTAAATACTCCTTCTTAGTTAGAAATGCATTTTAGCAATTCGGTCAAAATTTCCTGCGATCGGTTTCCGCCTGTATTTTGTGGAGAGAGGTTGAGGCGTACCTATTGCAGTGTCCGGGGGGCATATCGACAATTCCTACCTTAGCATTAGTCCTACTTTTTATGTAATTCGCTCCCCTCCTAGTCTTCTCGTTAACTCTCTCTTTCGCATCCGGCCTTTCTTTCGGGTGTTTATCAACACGAATGTAGGTTTGTGGTAAATGCTGTGCGAATGCCTTTTAATAGACCACCGCAGTGTTTAGTCGTGTCGCATGCATGGTGCTCATTAATCTGGTGGAAGTATGGGCGTTCCCTCTGGTTTCGGTTCTCGCAGACGACTGCTTACGGTCGATACTCAAATAAGTATTCGTAAGAAAAAAACTGGACGCAAGTGCAACCGGCCCTGGCTTACTGGCAGGCGTCGCGTGAAGAAAACATGCGGTCTGATCGCAAGTACGTTAGCAGTGAGCCATGTATGGCGGAATGGGGCGCATATGGCAGGCATGGCATGAACCTTCACCTACGCGTGCCACCACGCCCCTTCCCCCCAGTGTTCGGCATTTGTTATGCGAGCGCATCTATATAATACAGCCCGTTTAGGGGCCACACAGGACATTTCAACCGTAGGTTTTGACTGTGCTAAATGCGTGCTTCACAGCAGGCTGCAAACAAACCCGGTGTCTGAATTAGAGTGTAGTGGAATTGGACTTGCGCTGCATCTACCACGATCTCTCCCTTTCCTCTGTGCTCGAAGTTATGACCAAGTCAAGGAGACAGGAGGCTGTAGGGGGTGCAGGTGGCTGGCGCGGCCGCTACTCTTGCTTCAGATACCAGCTAAATGGAAGGGTCATTAAGGCCGGAAGGGGAAAAGCACATACTGTCTTGTCCTTCAGTTCTCTTTGAGCTTTGGAGTTCATTTTTGCTGATACCCTTTTGTTTCCTCCCGTCCTTACTGTCTTCTTCCCCTTCGCATGCCCCCTCCCCGCCCTCAGGCCCTGAACGTTGCACCGGAACAGGAAGCCGCTCGGCTCTATGATTGCCAACTTAAGGGCCAGCGTCTCTTTGCACGTCTCATTGGACCAACAGAACGATCTTTTTCAGTAAGTTGAATATTGATTTTACAATCTTGTCCGTAAACTTTGCTGCTCGTTCGCTTTTTATGCTTTTAAATGAGCCACTGAGTTTGAGGATGTTAAGAAACCGCACGCCGGTTGATGTTGGTCCTCTGACTGATGAAAC